TTAGTTAACTTATTTAATTTTAAATATAAATTGATTTTCATTTTAACTTAGAAATTTTTGACAAGTTCACTATATTTAGTTATTCCAACTTTACTGCGCTTGAGTAGCGTTCGGATTAAAATATGAATTGATTTATTGAACTTAACTGAGAAACAGGAACTAATGCTTTCATTCCAAAAAAAAGTATTATGGTCAAAGGAATTTCGAACTGTGATATCTTCAAGTTCATATTTAAAACCTTTAAATTTAATATCATTATTCAAGAGTATTAATACAAATATCGAACATAAGTTTGTTGACATAAAAATTATTTCCATAATACAAAGAATACTCATAATTTATTTAATATATTCATATTCATTTAAACATGTTTTTGTTTTTTGTCTGGATGATATTGAATACTAACTCTTTCTATACAACTTCTTATACCCGAGACATTGTGACATAAAAAACAGACAATTAATTAAAAGCGTACTCACAATTTTTCAGGTATAGAAGTTTCAATGCTATACTGTTTCCCAAATTATGAAAATACTAAAGAATATTTAAAAAAATAAATTAAAAGCCAATTAAAGAATGTGTTAATATCTACAGAAGAACTTGCTTGACAACATCGTGTTTCTTTTTTGGAAACAAAGAGTAGTCGAAAATTGTAAAAATTACATATTTTTATTTCACAAAAATAATGAATTATTTTTTGTTTTTTATGTAAATCATAATATTTTCAAGGCAATAAAACAGAAGAAAAATCACCGAAAACATTTCAAAAAGGTCTGTTAATTTTTATAGGAAATGGAAAGAGAAAGAACGCTTTGTTTTCTGTCAATATATATAAAATTTTCGATTAATCAAAACAAATTTGTCTATAAATAAATGAATAGAAAACAAAATACATGGAAAAGAGTCAACAGTTTCAAACGAAACCAAATACAATAAAAATAATATCAGGACAAAGAATTAATCAGTTTGATAACTTAGGAATAACCATAACATAAACATCTACAAATCAAGATAATTATCATTATCAAAATTATTAAGAACGGTCACAATTAGACAATATGAATTAGTTGTGAGTTCAGTATTTTCATTCGCCGTAATAGAACAGCATAAGATATCTGGAGCAGGTGTACAAATAAGAGTTAAAATACAAAACTGAGATGGTTAGAGCAGATTGTTCGAAAGACATACCACATAATTGTAAAAATTAAAATTGACGGAGGAGAAGGTGGGAAGAGACAAAGGACATCCAAATAAAAAATGGTTACAAGACACCAAAGGTATATTAAGATATAGATCGATCGATTGGAAGAAAAAAGCGAGCGATCAGAAGAGATGGAAAACAATAGTAAAGAATTTTTTATTCAAAGGGGAAATTTTTCTATCATATCCTCAACAATCATACGTCATTCCTGTTCCCTCCGTCTAACTAATAAAATTTATAAACAATAAATAATTGACATTCATTTTCATCCGATACATAACACATAGACAAACTTATTTGTAAACCAGCTATTTAAAGAACCTAATAGTTCATTACACAAACACCAAACAAACAAAAAACCTTCTAACCAATTAGTTGTTATCCGTATGCCTTTGATGCGATAAACAATAAATCAAAAAAAATGCCACACAAAGTTAGTCTCATACATAATTGTTCTAATAGATCTGCTTGATATTTGATTGATGGATCTTTACCAAATAAACGCCTCTTCCCCGCTCACATTCCCCCCTAAAATAAAAGAGAAAACTCGTTCGCTGAGAGAAAATCGTAATGGATGCGACAGTAGTTTCCTCTGAGAGAGAAACTTCTCGAAAATGTAATTTACCAGACGTCAAATGTCTGAAGTCTACAGGATAAATAAAGTCTCTTAATGTGCACGGTGAGAAAAATTCCGTAAGAAGTTATCCTCGGCGGTTCAGCCCGGACGGTTTGGATACACCAGAGGGTAACTTGTCAACGAGTAGCTAACCAGTGTTAGTTCTTAGGTGTCTCTTTCATTCATGAATATTGCCGGAATAAATTCTTTTTAAAGGTTGACGGCTATTTTATTATGGAATTTATGATAAAGAGACTGCTAGCTAAGGAAAATTTCGTCGTATTTCTTGTAGGTTTACATGTTTAAATAATAGAGTAATATATTTTAAAAAATGTATCTCCCACAAATAAAACAGTAATCCATATACATAACTTTAATTTACTAACAAATCTAAATCTTCTCTAGTAATTAATTTTATTTTGATTTTAAGTGGGTTGACTATTTGTGATCAATTATTGTGCACCGATGAATTAGAAGCAATTTCATGCTGTTAAGATGAGTATTTACTTGGCTTTAGAGCAAAGTATGCAAGGGTTTCGTAGTACCCCACTTTTAAAGTTCATTTTTAGCTTATTCTTAAAGACAAAAATATGTGCATATAGATAAAGGTTAAATCTATGCTCCCCTGAAGACACTTTTTCAAAATTTGAAACTGTTTTTTTCTAAAAAAAATATAAAACGACTTTTTTTTACCCATTTTCTCAATTTATTTAAAAAAAAAAACAAACTAAATTGAATTTTTAAAAAGTGGTTCAAAAGGAGCATAGATTTAACCTTTACCTACACGTACATATTTTTTTTTTTAGAAATAGTCAAAAATAAAGTTTAGATATTTCATCTAGAAGGTGGCGCCTCTGTTAAATTTTTAAGAAATTAATATTTGTGAATGAAAACAATTTATATTTTTACTGATGGTTAACGAGGAATAAATAAATTTTACGTCTTTGTAAACCTTATTGTTTTACGTAAATTATTTCGGTAATACTAAGATCGACATATTGTATATGCAAGGGTTTCATAGTACACCAATTTTACGGATTATTTTTATTTTTACTTCAAGAAAAATTATAAGAAAATGTAAGCTGTACCTAGGTGGTTCATTATAACAGATTATTCAAACAAAAATATTTTTTGTAAAAATATAAATAATAATATGCTGAAACATTATTCTGATCGTTGCATATTATAAAACCAAAGTACCTTTTCATTTAACTAACTCACTCATGGCTACCCCAAGTTTGAATATTATAAATCCGCTTAAATATAAACAAGTATTAGAAATTAAAAATTAAAAAAAAAACCGACTTCAAAAACGTGCAGATGCCATCACCACATCTTAACCAAATTTATATAGGACCATCCCTGAGGTACCCCTTTACTAACAAAAAAAGAATCATATAAATCGGACAAGGTGGTAAAGCATCATCGCTAAACATACATAAAAAATGAAGAGTTTGAGGATTTTCTCATGGACCCAATTATTAAATTTTGATTAAATTTATATGGGACCACCCATGAAGTACCCCCTTTTTAACAAAAATAAAATCATTAAAATCGGACACCGTGTTAAAGAATAATCGCTGAACAACATAAAAAAAAATATCGCGACGAATTGATAACCTTCTCCTTTTTTGAAGTCGGTTAAAAACAACAGGTATAGAAAATATTTTTAAACGCCTAGTATATTTAAAAATGTTAAATGTCAAAGAAACCGTTTATTGTCCGTTTATATTAGCCTCCGTGTGGCCTCCTGTATTTTTTTAATTTGACTTTTTGAATCGAGGACATCGGTGGTACTGGAGTGAATGTATTGCCAATCTATGGACGCTTTTCTACTCTCAAACAATGAATTATTGTAAAATACATATTATTTTGTGCAATTGTAAAATATTTTTCGGTGCCTTTGTCTCAACTTCGGGCGTTAAGAGTTTAGAATATGATCCCTTGTATCCACATGCAATTGTTAAAATTATGAATGAATACTGATTTTGTTTAGTCTTGGAAGTAATTTTTTTTTATTGGTACCCTATTTTACTTATTTAAAGTACGCCTCAGCGTGTTTAAAACGAACTTTAAAAAACGCGCGTTTTAAAGTTACCATGGCAACATCAACAACCCGAGAAACGTGATGTCTAAATGTCAACTTTTTAAATATTTATCTGACAGGAGTGCCTTGTAATGTCAAATAAAATATTTCTGAGAAATTTTTCAAAAAATGTATTCAACACCTTCAAAAATAAATACGTAATGTCCGGTGCATCTGTAAAAAACTTCCGCAAATCGTCTTCCTCGAATACATATGCCTTCTTGACTACCTCAATTTTGCTAATTGCCTTCATGAATGCATGCACTTTGACGAATTATTTTATATGGACCCCTTTGTTTATCCTCAACATACTTTGTAATTTTGAATGGATAGTCCACATAGTCGATACTTTATACTGTTCCGACATTTTCTGGAGATAAGCGAGAACAACTCGTTCATCTATATGTATAACCATTTGCTCTTCCATCCACGTGTTGAATTTATCGTATTCTTTTTTCTAAACCGCTTCGGATTTTTGTGGTATTAAGCGCGATTCTGCTTTATTACTTAAATACTTAATATTTGAACTCATTTTAAACAATAACAACTGTAGCGACAATTAATCTTACGTGGCAGATTGAAAATAAATTTTTATTTGTCTCATTTTCATGACAACGAGGTATACTGATGTTACATCACAAATTCAACCATTTTCAGTTATTAGTTCTTATTTCCATTTTTTTTTTGTAGAAATAATACCAATATTTAGGATTTCAAAGTATACCAATAAAAAAAATAGCGTAAAGTATTCGTGGATAACTGGTCTTTAAAACACAAAATCGTTTTAAAGTCCGTTATATCCACTTATACTTTAATATACTATTGAACTATTTAGGCTCCACCCTTAAGTTGTAATTTTTATACCTACTGAACTACTGTTGCTCCGCAGGTCTTTCAGTTTGTAATGTAAATTATTCTCTTAAGGACGTGCATATAAAGTGAGAAGTCTGAACAAGTCCTTTTTAAGAGAGACAACAAAAAGTTACCCATCAGGTGCTGTCTCTAGTGAAGCGACTACCTATATTCTAGAGAATTTAATTTGCAGAACGTAGTACATGTTCAAAAGGTAGATATTTTATTTATACCTCACCCTTTTTTGCTTATTTGTAGTTAATATTACAATTTTATTACAACTGATCGGCCTAATAAAAGTATCTAATCAACAAAACATTTTAAAATGCAACTAATTTGCAAGACCAATTCCTATTCCTCTGACTGTTTCATTGGTTTAATAATAATTATAGACAACTTTAATTAGAAATTAGTAATGATTATAACATTTATTACACCATTTTTAATAAAATAAGTCTAATTAAAAAAATATTTTGTATAACTACATATGATAACAGGGATATTCCACGTGAAATGATTTTATTATTTTTAGGTCTAAACTAACCACTTCATATGGATTAACCCACAAATATATCAATTCGAATTACTTTGGCCAAATAACATTTAATATATCCATGATGGTTTCGTAAATAGTAAACGTTATAGCAACATCAAAAACAACGCGACTTAACCTAGGTATCGATCCTTTGTAGTAAGCCAGTGGTCCCTCATTTCTTCCTACACTAATCAAACAGTGCAGCGTATTTTTATACTTGTGTGCCTCCAGTCCTTGCATCCTGGTTTTCACGACGTCAATCGGATTGTTAACGTAAACGGAGGCAAGACCAGCAAGAGCTCCGAATAACGCAATCCATGGCTTCGGAATACTTTTATTTGGATCACCTCCCCTGTAATGCATCTTGCAAGTTTCCATTACCCAGAATCTGGTAGCCTGATTTGTACCTTGTTTAATTATTGTGGCGATGACTCCTTTATACAATCCTGAAACACCTTGAGTTTTAACAATAACTCCTAATCCATGAACTAGTCCTCTATACTGCGGTTGGGCTGATCGTTGATCGTTAATAAATTTAACTTTAATAGTTTCCATCGGTGTCACTGCAAGGATGGCTTCTGATATCCCGGCACCTAAACCGCATATTAAACTTTGAGTTGGGCCAAATTTCCTATCCGGGCCCATCATGAAACCTTTATAAGTTTCGTAAGAACCAAATCGCACTGCACTTTTTGGAATAGATCCCACGATCAAGATGCTGAGTCCTCTGTAAAGGCCCAAAATTCCTCGTTCTCTTACGGTCACTTTCACGCAATCTATTATGCCCTGGTATTTTTTCCTTTCACCTTTCTCGTCCAGTTGAAGTTGGGTTTTTACGTATTCGGTGGGATAAGTTATACATATTTCAATCCCTCCCGTAACCCCACCTACAAACACGCCTCTTAAGCCAAGATTGCCACCTCCAGCTGGCGCAGCTACACTGGAGTCTTTGAGCCATGGTCTTTTAAACGGTGATATAAATGCTGTACCTGGAGAATCTGGCATATTTTTTTAAAGGAATGTGACAGTTTGATCAAATCATTAAGACAATGATGACAATCTAGTCTATGAACCATTTACACAACGTTGGTAAACAGATCAGGATTGATTACAATATGTCAATGTTATTAAAATGTCAAATGTAATTTTATTCTTTAACTTTAAACTTACGGTACGTGAACACTGAACTTCTCACGAGTGAAACAGAGTGAAATCCAAAAATAGCAAATACAGAAAAGCGACAAAGCCATTCCCGCCAAAAAAAAAGAGAAGACTGGGGATTAACTGGCCAAATGTCATTTCAATTTCAACACGCTTGTCATATAGATAACTTTCCAACTGGCCAGTTTAACTAGTGTAGTCGAGATTCTTGTTATTTGCCGATTCATTTTGTTTGAGTTAAAAATATATTTTTTCTATACCCATATGGATATTAGTTTATGTACGCACAGATTATAAAACGAAAAAATATACTATTGCCTTTAATTGAACGAATATATTTCATATCCATTCTAGGTAGTGAGAACTCTGCAAAAAAATGAAATCCACCAATCCTGCACAACGTATTATCTAAACTGGCTTTTTTAAGACGTCCTCAACGAGGACTTCATCACTATAGACACTAACAAAGAATTTCCATGTAAAAATGAACGAGATATTTGTAATTTTGCCTTGTGCAAATAATACACCTAAAATTGTCACTGGCTCCCTACCAATTATAAAAAGTAAAAATGACATTTATGGATGTGTAAATAAAACTCAGGGTAGGAAACATGACAACAACAACTTTTTAATTTGATCTGGAATCTATTACTCATGCGCAGAGTAATAGATATTGTTTGTTCCAAGAGCTAATCTGATCATCAGAAGGACGTCAGACGCATGCGCATTGAAAAAAGTCCCTTCCAACAAAGCCACTGATAATTCGATGAACGGTCAGTAAGACGTTCCAACGTATTTTCATCGCTTGTACAATTTTTCAGCACATGCGCTCTTGAACGTCTCTTTTCGTTCGTGCTATTTTTGTTTGTTATTGTGGTGATTTTAAGTTACTTTTGAGTGGCTTGTGTTTTCATATCTTTCAATTAAAATGAATCATTATTGTTTTGATTTTTTGTACTTTTTTATGTAAAATAAGTACTTATTTTTAATAAAAATAAAGAACTTAAGATATCAAAATAATACATTCACATAGATCATTCGAGACAGCTAAATAAATGTATTATATTGTATTTTAAATAATGTTTAAAATACCTTATGTGTGTAGGAGGGGTTATTGGCTTCAGACTGTCTATAGGCCACAGATTTTTTTTAATGATTTTAAAAATAAGTAATTATATGTTGATATTTTATTTCTTAAGGAAACAATTTATTTCGTCATATATAACTTTATTAAATGAACCTAGTAAAGTACTGATATTAGTTGGAAAATTTACTTTTAGTGAAAGTAGTTTTTTCATGAAATATATGGTTTAAGTGACCGACTGTTTAGTTGTCACACTCACATGTAGGTGTCTCATTGATACCGATTCTAAAGAGGTGTGCTGGCAAACACCCCTGGTTTAGTTTCATTTGTGTTATACTTGTGAAATATGACCTACTGATATTGTAAGAAAAAATGTGATTAATTTTTTTTTAGCAGTGTAGGGTGTATATCAACGTAATAAATGTTGGAAGTTGATACGTAGGCATTTTATAAATTTTTTCAATCTGTACTCATTTGGTTCTTAAAGAAATTGATTAAATCATCGTACGCAAATACATCCTCTATTTTACTAAGGAGAGTATCTTGCTTCGCCGCCGAATCAACAATTTTATACCCTCGTTTTCCTGTTTGTCCCTTGGTCTAAATCAAATCTACTTTAATATTTTTTTACTTAAGTTGCACAATAAGGATCTAATATTTATTATTATGTGTTGATTATATTTTTTTTATGGCATGACTTGCCAATGATTTAGAATCATAATTACAGCTTTGTTTACGAGCCCTAACACAAAAATGTTCGGACATCAACTGATTTTGCGAAAAAGTTTGAAAATTTCATTAAGGGATTCAATATCATATGTTTTTCATTTATAAGACATAATATGTATTGTTTACCTATTTATGAAATTGTTTTCAAATAAACTAATATTGATTAATAAAACTAAACTAATGTTGATAAAAATGCAATATTTGCTGACACATAAATGTTCGGACACGTTAGTAAAACAAATAATAGCAAGCCATGCCAAGCTATTTTGACATTTTAACTTGAGAATTAATTCGATTATCAATTGGCTCCAAAATGTCGCGTGGTAAAGCAACAAATGGTGCAATTAGAGAATTAATAGTAAAACTGTTTAACCAAGAAAAAACCTTTCGGGATATTGTTAAAAAAAATAAATGTCGCAAACTCCACGGTGTCAGATATTGTGAAAAAATATGGAGAAACGGGTTCAACTCAAATTTCAAGACATGGTGCTGGTCGGCCACGCAAAGTCACTTCCCGAATGCAAAGATCTCTTGTTCGGATTTGTAAAACTGATCGCCGAAGTACTGTAAGGGAAATAACAGCAAAATGGAATGAAGAAATAATTGGAAATGTTTCACGAGAAACGTGTCGTCGCTGAATCCATAAGTCTAGTTTACATTTCTATAAGGTACGGAGGTTACGTTTAAGGAAAAATCTCATATTTATGCAGTGAAATCATTGGTTTAGGCAAAAAAAAAGCCGTTGCTGACGGAAAAACAAAAGAAAAGACGATTAGAGTGGGCAAAGGAACAGGCAATGTGGACTTTTGAAGACTGGAAAAGAATCAGTTTTAGCGATGAATCAAAATTTGAAGTTTGCGTGGGTGACCATCGATCACGTGTTATAAGAAACAAAAATGAAGCCTTTCACAAAGACTGCCTAAAGAGAAAAATACAATTTCCATCAGGTGTTATGGTATAGGGAAGCATGTCTGGTTTCAGTGTTGGAAAACTGCACTTTAAAGACGGAATTGTAAACGCAGAAAAATATCAGAACATTTTTGAAACCAATTTGTTAGTGTCAATTCCAATTTTATCACCTGATGGAAACTTTACTTTTCAACAAGATAGCGCCTCCTGCCATACAGCCAAGACCACAAGAAAGTGGCTGCAGGACAACAATATTTCCGTCCTTGACTGGCTCTCCAGCAGCCCTGATCTAAATATAATCGAAACTGTATGGCACAAGATGAAGCAGCAACATTTCTGATTTGCCGGTAAAATTGCAAAATATATGGGATTCTTTTATCGCGGAAAATTGCGAAAAGCTTGTAAAAACTATGCCTGATAGAATAAAAGCTGTTATTAAGGCAAAGAGAGATGCAACCAGCTATTGATGTGATTTGTCCAAACATTTATGTGTCAATAAATTAGCTATGGTGAAAATAATGATATACTAAAAACCCATGTAAGTATGTAATATGTAGAGTTGATTTCAGATAGAAAGCGTATATTGACAAGCAAATACAATAGTTATTTCTCAGTTTAGTTGCGCCATTTATTTTACACCCTTCTTATATTTGTCATGACACAACAACAATTAGCATGTCATGTCCTAGGTGCATATTAAAAATCCTAAGTTATATAAACAAAATCTACTTTGTTTTATAAACACGCAAAACGTTCAAATTTGTACGAAATTTTAGGTTTGATATTTATTTTTTTTAGAGTTTCGGTAGACGAAAAAATCTTATATTAAAAGGCGATTAAGACATTAGATTAAAATAATTAACAAATTCTTTTATATACCTGCACAGAAAAAACAGGTGTACTATATTCAAGATGAATGGTCTTATTTCAATGCTTTGTTGTGTTTATATATCCACAAGTAAAACTCGTCCCGATTTGAGATTCTAGTAATACTTGTTCAACAGTAGCTAATTAGCCTTGCTTCAAGATTAAAATCAACTTGACCTAACTAAAATACCTATAATTATATGAAGGGTATCTATTGCTCAATTGCAGTATTATGTACATCTTAAATAAAATAGTCTGACACTTTTTTTAAATATACTTTATTTATATTCAATAGTACCTTGTTCTTAAATCCAATACAACTAAATTTGTTACAATAATAATTTGAACTGTTCCAAGAAATGTTAATATTGGCTTTGACATAAATATATTGGTTTTGGTTGAATTACAGGATAACTTCATTGAAGAAATTAATAATCTTGAAATAAGAACAGGCTGTTCTTGCTTCTAAATAGGATTCTCACTGGTACGTATCCACTGAAACACATTTTTCAAAATTGTTTTTAGTTAATGTACCAAATTCCTTTGTCCTCTGAAGTGTTCCACCTATAATTAAAATAAAATAATTTTATAAATACAAAGCTTAAATGGAACATAAAAGTTTGTCTTGCTAAGATAAGAAGTCGTATCTACAAAATGAATATTTTTAGTAAATGTGGGTAGGTAGATAATTACGTCCTTTTTGACTTTGCAAATAAGTTTTGCTTATTTTACTAACCTTTTATTATAATTATAGTAAATATTTTCTAATGCAAATAGGCCTTTATTATTTTGTGTCATAATAAAATAAAATGAAAGCTTATAAAATTTGTAAGAATCTTGAAAACGGAATTTTCGTAGATACGACCTATTGTCTTAGCAAGGCAGAAGTCGTCTTTCCAAAAAGTCGTCATCCAGCATCATATATTTTTTTCCTTTTATTCCAGTTTGTTTCATGTTCTTATGATTATAAATTTACTTATATATAATATAATACCTAACAAGAAGTAAAATAAATATACTTACATTTAAATATTGGTATCAGGTCGCTGAGGCCCCATTCATCTTACAAATCTTCCATTTCAATTTAATTTATTCACACACTTATTAATTGAATCACAAAGAATTTCTAACAAAAAGTAGAACGCAACCCTAACGATACAATGCAAACTTGTTAGAAAATGGACAATAGGACGCACACGTGCTAATGCCAATTCGCGTTCTGTTTCTGTTTTCCGAATAATAAGTATCACATCTAAACATGTACGAGTTATATATCTACTGTATCAGTATAGTGGTTTCATTTTAAAATAAGTTTTAGTTGGCAACACTATGCAGTGAATTT